TGAAGGAACTCATGATCACAATCAATGCTGCAAAAACCAGGAAGATACCATACTTGAGATGGCATAAGGATGCCAGGAAGCACTGCGCAATTATAGCCGTGAAGATCATGTTGACACACACCACGAGGCTCTGGCCCGCGGACCGCGTCTCCAAAGGGAAGAGCTCGCTCGGGACTAGCCACCCGAGCGGGCCCCACGACCTTCCGTAAGCAAAAACAAACACGCATATCAAAAACACCAAAAAGATCCCAATGCCCTTCGAGAGCTGTTCGCCTTGTCCGAATTTAATTGCAAGTGTGATGGCGAGCGCCACCATGACACATACCATTTCTGCCCCTGCTTCTAGAAACAGTACTCGCCTTCCGAACCTGTCCACTAAGGCCATAGAGAAGAGGGTGGAAAAGACGAGAATCCCGCTCGTGAGGGCGGATGAAGAGAGAGACGCCCCAGACCCAAATCCCAAACTCTGGAATATGACTGGGGCGTAGAAAAGGATGGAGTTCATCCCAGTCAGCTGTTGGAACGCGGGAATTCCAACAGCTGCAATGATTAACTGAGGCCGGTTCCTCCTCTTCAGGAGGTTCCGGAAAGGTTTCTTTATAGCTTGGGCCGCTCGACTGGCGTTCATGAGGTCAGAAAACTCAGCATCTACTTTTGAGGTTCCTCTCACCTTCTCCAGAATGGCCCGCGCTTCCTCTAGTCTGCCCTGCTCCACTAGACTGTTTGGGGTCTCGGGCAGGTAAAGCCCGCCCAGGAACATGAGCGATGCAGGGACCGTGGCTAACCCGAGAGATAATCTCCACCCCCATGGATGGATTTTGTTTGTTGCATAGTTTATGAAGTTGGCTAGGAGTATCCCCAGGCAGGTTGTGAGCTGAAAGAGTTGGTTTATGGCTCCCCTGATCTGTGTTGGGGCCATTTCTGAAAGGTACAAAGGCACTGCCTGCACGTGTGACAAACACCATCCATTAACAAGCAACTTATATTACAGTATATACTTGTTAATCCCACTTTATGGAGCATAAATGATTCTTGTCACAAAACAGCAAAAAATATTGGGGATATATGAATATATCAATTCTACTTTTGTGATATTTGGTTTCCATGTAAAACATAGAAACCTGCAAACTTAAAAAGTAAATCGATAACAGTTTTGGCACGCCATATGCCAAAAACAAAAATGTATGAATGATTCATGAAAAAAGAGTAATAAGATACAGTGGATATTTTAAATACGTGGTATATAAAATCTTATTGGGTAAATTTTCTTCTGTTTATAATGGATCGTCATAGTCTCATAGACTCAAAGTATTGGAACAGCTCAATCTGACTAAAATTGCAAAAGAATACGAAGTACTTCGTATTAGATTTGAGGATTAACTTAATCCTAGAAATCACCAATTTGTGGGAATATGAAACATAAATAATCCAAGGAATCGCCATTTTGGCATACAGTTTTAAAAGATCAAAACATACAGTTTTGCAAATATATTGCCTGAATAAAGCATGGATCATATAGAAATTGACATTTTTAACAAGTGAATGGTTTTACACCTTTTATCCTAGATATCTAACATGACCATTTTTACTCCTCTTTTTCAGAGGGATTGATTTTAGTCATTCAAACCTACTTGAATTCAGATAGAGCAAATGATATGGGGAAATTAGAGTATTTTACTTATCCTAATACTAAAAACTTGTAAGTCCAAAACAAATTAAAGCATACTAGTATATCATTTGTCCTACATAATATTAGGGCCATAACAGGAATTCTACTAGGCATGGCAATGGGTCGGGGCGGGACGGGTATTGCAAGAGCCGGACCCGCCCCGTGACTTGGCAGGGCGGGTCCGCCCCACCCCTGCACGGGTCCAAACTTGTTGACCCATGACCCTCCGTTTATAACATTAGGGAGTACAAATCACCACTTCAGAATAGTAAAAGAGTGGTCTAATTAAAGTGTCATTTTGACCATTAAACATGTAGAGAGTTATGAAACAAGGTAGAACTCTTCTAACAAATGTTGCTTAATTAATAATGATGGTTCTGTTTTACTTACTTGATTGCCAAAACCAATACCAACACCAAGAAGGCAACGGCCAACGATGAGCATTGAGATATTCCGGGCAAGTGCATTAAACAATGCGCCGATGAAGAAACTGGCTGCTCCCCAAAGGATGCTGGCTCTCCGCCCTTTGATTCTGGTCACATATGAAGCCCCAAATGTAGAGATAAGGGCCGCAAAGTACAGAGATGAAGTAAAGAGAGTGAGGATCTGATTGTCATATTTGCAGTAATCTGTTTCTTGCAGATGGCTTTGCTTCCTCATGTAGATTTTGGGGAAGAAATGTTTCAAAAAGTCGTCCATGGATGTCACCCCACCTAGAACGTTATACAAATACAAGTATACAAAACCAATTGCGGATTCAGTAATTCCACGTCTGATCTTTAAAGTAGTAAGACTAGAAAATATTTTAACGAATACCATAAACTTTTTAACTCGTTGGAGATGCAACTATGTAAGCAACTTCAAAGGTATAAACAAAAGCTATTTTAAATATTCTTTTGTTTTGATGGGATAATTTTTTTATTGTGGGTCACAAAATATAATGTTAGTATATGAGTTCTAGTCTTTTACATGTTCAGGATCAATGTATTTTGCAAATTGAATTTTTATTGTGGATTAATATATTACTACAATATACTAGCAAGTGCATATCCACTACTCCACTAGCAATTACAACTGTGATCGCTCTGATGAAACGAATATTCTGTATTGAACCGCTCTGGTAAAAAAAGAAATAACCGCATTGATGACTAGTTGAGCTTTGCTCGACTAGAAGTAGTGAAATCTGGAGTAACTAATGCCTCATATGTCCCATTGGAGCACTTAAAGTTCAATTTACCTAATGAATTTGAATAGGGAGTTTTTGTTGATGAATTTGATATAGTTCGCGCGGTAGCTTTACATACTGGCTTTTGGGTGCTACTTTTATTAGTCCGATAACATTTACTTATTTTCATATCAAGTTTTCTAAGTAGTACAGAGTGGAGTACTATATACGTCCCATTTTATGTCTCGTACTTTGGTTTGACTTACGGAGTAATTATTATTAATAAAGTGATTGAAAAAGTAAAAGTTATGAATGATATTTGAGTATAAAGGATTAAAGGATAATGTTGTAGAGCACATAAAATGAAAGTGTGACACTTATTTTGGAACAATCTAAAAAGAAAAGTAAAACATGGTAAGATGGGATGGAAGTAGTAATTTTTTACATATGAAGACTTTTTATTTTACCAAAGTGTACAATTTATCAATCTACAAATACGTCATAAACCAATAGATTTATGAAAAAGTTATGCGGCTAAATACAAGATTTTCAAGGTAAGTTAAAAAAGAATTGGAATTTAAAACGAGAATACGTTAGAATGGCACCAAGGCATTGATGAATGAATAGTGGAATGGCTGATTGTTTTGAATGAGTAACAATTGCAACTCTAATTCTAATATGGAATAATGGATTTTTTTTGACAGCTATGGAATCAGGGATTACTCAAAAAACATGATTGGTTTGATTAGAAATGACCGAGAAGGCTATGTAAGCTACGAATATACTACGAATATCAATAAGTTTTGTTTTCTTCCGTACTTATTACTTAAAATGTGATGGACACAAAGTGTATGTAGGTTGTTCTAGTGGTTTGACCTAGCTTTTAGATGCCGGCGACTGAACACACGATAGATAGATCACAAATGAGGCAAAATTGGGGTTTAGGTTAGAAAACTGGTAAGAGGCACTGAGGAAATGAAAAGTGCGAAGTAGTATTATGTAACAAGATTGAATAAAGAAAAAACATTTGTGTCAAGCACAGAAACGCGAAAATCGTAAAGAAATGAGAATCTGGAAACATCAATCTTTTACTTGAAAAATAACCGTTTGCAAGGTTTCTAAAGCATTTTTATTTTAGTGCTTTTTAAATGAAAATGTACTTTTTACTGGGAGTTTAGAAAAACATGCATATACGTAACAAACATATAGAAGGAATGAGAAAGGATGGGAAGAGACTGACCAGAAACGCCAAGATCATAGCCAAAGAGAGATCCACCCATGGCGGCAACAATGCAAGCAAAAATGAAATACGGAGTGATCCTATACTCATAATAAGCTCCGGCGGCGCCCCTTCTCGACTCGTCGACAAACCCTCCCGCCGGCATTCTGATCGATCACCTCTCACCACCGGCCTCTCTTTCTAGTCTAGCTCACATATACTATATACTGCCCTCATTTATCTATTTATTGATCAAACAGATATGATGGATCGAAATTAAATAAAAGATGTATTTGATACACTCACTAATCGGATGATGATGAATGTGGGAATTAATTAAGGGGGTTGTTAGCGGATATTCAGGTCTTATCAATACTGTGCATACTACACTTTCTATATCTCATCTCATAGTCCAATCGGATAAAGTTTTGTTTCTATATGCCACATGATCCACTTTCTTAAACGGATATGTGTATGTTCACATCAAGGGCGGACCCAGGAAATTCGTGTCGGAGGTTCAAAATATTTTTTGGGGTGAAAATTATTTTTTTAGGGGGTTAAAATTATTTTTCGTATATATATATATAGAATTTTTTTTGTTGGGGGCGGTTGCCCCCCTGGGTCTGTACTACGGTCCGTCCCTGTTCACATCTCAAATACCCATTTAAAAATGGATACCTTATTTATCATTATATCATTTTTAATTTAGTTTTGAAAATGATTCAATTGCATCATTCTCATTCATACATTTGACCAATATGTCAATTGTCATGCCATCTCACTGTGGTCACATACAAACCAATACGGAGTATTAAACACTGGCTAACATCTTTCTAACGTTTTCGGATACAGTATTAAACCAATACGGATTACGGAGTATACAGTTAATAAAAAGGATGGTTGATACGTAATCATGAGCGAAGTTCGTGAGTCCTAGGGCTGCCGCTGCTGGGTTTCTTTTCGGATTCTATCGTTTTCGATCGAAGTCCGGCTTTTATTTTTGTTCTTGTCCTTGTTTTCATACATCAGTTTTTCTAAGGATTATCTCAGGCTCGGCCGCTGCGTGGAGATGGAAGATATTATTAACAACTATAGGAAGATGGCTATTGGGGAGGCAGGTAACGAACTCAATTTTGATACAGAGGAAGCCGGTGATGAGGAAGTGATCGAAGATCAGATTGGCTTCCCGGTGGTTGGGACGGTGATCTCCGATCGGAAGGTTAATTTTCAGGCGTTTCAGGATGCGATGACTTCAGCCTAGCGTCCTGGTAAGGGGAGATATCAATCAAAGAAATCGATGAAAAAAGGTATCTCTTTACTTTTAATCATGTTTTAGATATGAACCGAAAGGCTTGATAGCAAGTCTCTTTACAACATACATATCTATGTTTGCAGTTTTGATTTTAGGTGGGGTGATGTAATGTATTTCATTCTAATTGGTGATAAACCAGTCGGGAAATTCATCAATTATTAGTTTTTTTTTAAAGAGAAAAAGATCTTTTTTTATTGATAAAAGGGAAAACAGTACAAAGTGAAAAGGAAAGAAAAACAGTACAAAAGGAAAAACAGAGGAAACATCGAATTCATCAATTATTAGTATATAAGGCTTTATCATATCATATTGGTGTGATTAAAGTGAAACCAATAATTCCATTTGTTGATATATGAGAAACAAAACCGGTGTTCTCTTAACTTTGTGCTTTCGGTTGTATAAAGTGATAATCTGTATTTTTTGAGTTTAGCATGTTCTATCAAGCAGGTTTACCACTTTAACTTTTCATATAATACCTGTAAAGTTTTGTGGTTTTTGTTTTAGATGGGGGATCCATTGAATTTCATTCTACTTTCATTCTATGTCTAGATTTATAGATTTTAATCAGACCGGTATAGTCTGATAGAGTGTTATTTAATACTTCGTATAAAATTTCTGACTTGTTTAACACCATTATGTTCCTATTTAGTACATGTTTAGAGGTACTTTGTTAGCAATTTCAGATTGCTGAACTTTAGGCATGAGTTAATATAAGCAGTTGTATTTGACAATACTATTCATACCGATATTCAGTTAGTGAGTATTCAAAGTTGAAAAATACACGCAATAAATAAATGGAAAGGAATAACAAGTTGACCAGAGAATAGTGGAGGGCAGGGAAGGGAACCTCTGCCAACTGAGGGAAACATACTTTACAAAATAAACAAGGTGAGTTAATCTTGAGTGAGCCTCTTCGAATTCACTAAATTGCGCTTCACAGAAGATGTAAAGGACAGAGTTACGACCTAGTTGCAATTGTATATTCAAAAATAGCATAACCGAATGAGATTAATGATTGACATGATCAGGAGAAGATGAAAAAAACCACGCGATTGAGGATTGATGAAGTTAAGGCTGGCGGCAGGCTTGCTTGTGAGCAGTGCGAAATGGGTTCTTAGCGCTCCAATAGTCACTATCTTTGAAAATTGAAGATAATACCTTAAACCATAAGAAGAAGATGAATGGGAAGAAAGATGTGAGTAGAGCTCGAGATAACCTTCCCGGAGGAAGTCGATTCTCAGCGGCTAACCTAATCAATGGCATGAGATGAGTGGCAGGTTGTGGAATTGAAAAGGATAATGGAGACGGAATTGAGTCAGAGGTTTTAACAACGAGGACGGCAAATAGACGGATAGATGTTTACGGATGAGCAAAATAGAAGACACGGTACATTGGCTCAAGCACATAGTACGTGTTTATTAAGCTATGATGTACCACCAACAAATTTTTAATAACTAAAATATCCTTACATTGATTCATGCTTATAATTTTGTAGAGATGTGATCATTGTGTTGTTTACTTGTTTAACTTCTATACAAATTAAATATAATATTAAATAATAGAGAATATTACCTAAAATAGGAGTAAACAAGTTTGAAAATTTCAAAATATGACTCTCATGTTTTTATTTTCAAAATAGGACTAATTACTTGTTGGAAAAATGTGTGAAAAATTGCATTAAATGACTATTTTGGGGCAATTTTATGAGTGGGGTCCACTTCCGATTTGGTTCGGGTCAAAGTGGTTTCGGATTGTCCTTGCTTAGGGCTACAATTCGATATATGGTACGCTCAAAACGGATAACGGGTGAATGAGAAATTGTTTTTCGAAGTTTACCCGCTAGAAGGGAAAAATGATGGGTTTCTAGTGTGTTAATTTCTCACACCGGAAAACCCAAGGGATTTGCAACCCTTTATAAAGGGACTCCCCCCTTAAGGAGTTAAGATTCCTAAGGGTAAAGGCTCTCTCCACGCGCGTAAGGGGGGGGGTGCAAATCAAATCCCGAATTCGGAGAAGAAAACCCGCGACTTGCGTGCGCGGGCGACCTGCGGACACGAATGTCGTCCAAAAATCCTTCTCTCAAGTTATTAGTATTATATCAATATCTTGCTGATGGTCCCGGATAGAGGTAAAAGTCTAGAGGGGGGGTGAATAGACTTTTAAAGCTTTTTCAGTTTTGAAACACTTTTCCCTCTAGATGAGTTGATCTATAATCTTTTGAGAGATTAATAGATGCACAGCAGAAGTCTTTAACCTCTTTATACTTAGTGTGAGATAACTTTCTAGTTTAGATGGTGTTTAGACTGGTTATGAGAGGAAGTAGGCTTGGCAGTTGACTGGTGAGAAGGTCACTGCTTAGGTTACTGCTGCACAGGCAGTTTGCTGGCTGGCAGGCAACTGCTGGGTTGGCAGTTGGCTGAAGGGCAGGTTACTGCTGAGGCAACTGCTGAGGAACTGGATGACTCTTGGATGGCTTTTTGTTCTGGCTTGTTATGGAGTTTGGAAAGGCACGTATAGGTGGGCAGTGGACTCAGCAGGTGGGTGAAGACCAGGGTACTGCTGAGACACCTTCTGAGTTTAAGACAACTTCTAATGGAAAACACTCTCAAGGAGAGTGAGTTATTAAGCAGTAGGCTAAGCAGTAGAGTCAATGAAGACTACTGCTTAGGATGATGCTGGCAAACTACAAACCTTTAGTGAGATGTGTTTTGGTGTGTGCTCTGTATGTATGAAAGTAAATCAACACACCATATATTCTGGTTCAGAGGTGATGTAATCCTCCTACATCCAGTCCCACCCTATTTCAGATGGATTTCCACTAAAGTATTAAGCCCAATACACTTAGTGCCAATCTAGCCTTGACAACTCTGGCCTAGATTGAAGGTTTTTCACAATGAGTATAACACCACTCAAAGTTACTCAGTCCTTAGACTTTTCTCAATTGATCCAGTGTGGATCAAAAGGTACTCTATCTATCTAACCACACTTTAGGATCCGAACAACTGTTCTCCTAAGTGTTTACAACACCATGAATTTGTTCACAACGTTTCTAACCTCCAACTAAAACCTAAGCTCTAAAAATGTTACAATGAATGATCTAGTCTAAGAGCTTAGTGAAGCATGAGTCAAAGCAGAGTGTTCAAGCACTTTTTCTTTTGCTGGATATTCGTAGTGTAATGACTGAACCACTTGCTTTGAACTCAATGACTTGCTTTTGATCTCATGCTTCTGCCTATTTTTATAGGCATCTCCAGTAGATTAATCTCCTCCGTTGGTTAAGAGGATTTAATCCTAGACGTCCAAAGTATTGTACTTGCATCTACTTGTGTTGGAGCAGGATAAGGATTTGTCTTTGAAGACCACTTGCTTTGTACGAAGATAACACCCATACCTTAGGCCTTTTTATCGCTGCATGCCTATTCTGAAACTTCTTCACTATTCACCCATTCGTTTGTCTTCTCTGCTCTTGCATTCTGAATGTATTGGCCTTGTCTTGCAACTACACTCGTGAAGCTGAGTGCATGAACCTGCTCAAGTAGTGAAGTAGTAAAATGTGTGACTTAGAATATTTTGTATCAAATAAATTTTGTACTGGTAGGATCTTTTAAATATCCTATTAAGGTAAACTTACCTTATTGCATTTTGTTCTTTCCAGTACAATTTATTTGGTACAAATTTCACAGTAAAATTTGTCACTTATTTTACTAATCACTTTCTTTCTTTAAGTGACATGATTAAACTTATGTATCAAATTAAGACTATACTGGTTGGATCTAAATATCCATGTAAGGTAAATAATGTTTACCTTATTGCATTTTATAGTTCCAGTATGTTTAATTGATACATAGTTTGTACATTGGAATTCTTGTCACTTGTAAGCAGGTATCTTGTTAACTTAACTGGTAGGATATCAAATACTTTTTAAGGTAAAAATTATTACCTTATTGCATTTTGTTTTCCAGTTAGTTAACCAATATTCTTGTTCACTTTGATTAATCTGTATATCAAATAACACTTTACTGATTGGATTTAAATATCCAATTTTAAGGTAAAGACAACTTTACCTTATTTGATTTTGAATCCCAGTGTGTTCTATTTGTTATATAGAAATTTCATTGTTATCTTTTGTAGTGAACAGAATATCAAGAACTCTTCTTCTGAGTGTATGGTTTATCTAGTATTTCGAACATGATAAACTAAATATTTAACTGGTAGGATATCAATTCCTATTAAGGTAAAATTACCTTATTGCATTTTGTTTTCCAGTTAAAATAGATAGTTCATTTGTACGAGATGTTATTGTGTGTAACAAATAAATATAACTGGTTGGATTTATACGATATCCTTTTTAAGGCAATTCAATATTGCCTTATTGCATTTTATGGTTTTCCAGTCACATTTATTTGTTAATTATAAAAAGGAGCACGACACATCTAGATAATTTTTCTTAGTACTAGATAACTGCAAGATGCTACAATAGAGGATAACAAAGACTCTTATAATAATGCTACAATAGAAGGGGGGAGAAACAAAAGCTTTTGTCATCATCAAAAACAGTTCATCAAAATCTAGGGTCTAACACTTGCAAATCATAATAAATCTAATATCAAACATTACTTTCTATAATTAAGAATTAAGAACTAAACAAACTATTATACTTAATGATCAATAAATAAAATAACTAGTTTTCAAAAGTTCGGTTTGGTTTTGAGATGTGAAAACTAAAACCAAAACCAAACAACTATGGTTCGGTTCGGTTTTTTGAGTTCGATTTTGGTTTTCTTACGGTTCAATTGTTTTGGTTGCGGTTCGAGTTTTTTCAATTCGGTTTTCGGTTTCTACGACCCACCCCTACTACAAACAAACTGCCATATATCAACGGTAACAAAACCGTTTTAGTACAGATACAAAAATTGTTGGTATAGACATCGTTTAGCTATACGAACAAAAATATAGGCAATCCCGACATAAATTTGAATGTTAATATACATGTCGTCAG